ATGGATCATAAAGAAGGGCACAGAGATCCTCAAGTCGGAACCCAACATGCTGGAGATGGACGCACCCATTACAGTGTGCGGTGATGTTCACGGGCAATACTACGATCTCATGAAGCTGTTCGAAGTCGGTGGCGACCCAGCAGAGACGCGCTACCTCTTCTTGGGAGACTACGTCGATCGCGGCTATTTCAGTATAGAGGTAAGACGGCAGGAAAGCAGCCGCTGTGCATTGGCTGACACTCGCAGTGTGTTTTGTACCTCTGGTCGCTCAAGATCTGGTACCCCAACACCCTCTGGCTTCTCCGAGGAAATCACGAGTGCCGCCATTTGACCGACTACTTCACATTCAAGCTCGAATGCAAGCACAAGTACTCCGAGGCCGTGTACGAGGCCTGCATGGACTCGTTCTGCGCACTCCCCTTAGCGGCTGTTATGAACAAGCAGTTCTTGTGTATACACGGTGGATTGAGTCCCGAGCTCCACACTCTGGACGACTTGAAGAGCGTACGTGGAACCATGCCTCATCCAACGCCATCGCTAACCTTATTAGATTGACCGTTTCCGCGAGCCACCTACCCACGGCCTCATGTGCGATATTCTCTGGGCTGATCCTCTCGAAGAATTCGGCCAGGAGAAGACCAACGACTTCTTCGTTCACAACCACGTCCGCGGATGCTCATACTTCTTTTCGTACCCCGCTGCGTGCGCTTTCCTCGAGAAGAACAACCTTTTGTCAATCATCCGCGCACACGAGGCGCAAGATGCTGGATACCGAATGTACAGGAAAACACGGACGACTGGTTTCCCCAGTGTCATGACAATCTTCAGCGCGCCGAACTACCTCGACGTATACAACAACAAGGCTGCGGTTCTGAAGTACGAGAACAACGTCATGAACATCCGACAGTTCAACTGCACACCGCATCCGTACTGGCTGCCTAACTTTATGGACGTCTTCACATGGTCATTGCCATTTGTTGGCGAAAAGAGTGAGCAGAAGTGCCAATTCATATTGCAATATCATACTAACAAGTCGTAGTTACTGACATGCTCATTGCGATCCTAAACACCTGTTCGAAGGAGGAGCTCGAAGAGGAGACGCCCAGCTCTCTGGCTTCCGGTCCATCATCGCCACCCCTCTCCAGTCTCGACCCAGATTCGACCGAGTTCAAGCGACGTGCGATCAAAAACAAGATTCTGGCGATTGGTCGCCTCTCTCGTGTGTTCCAAGTGCTGCGCGAGGAGTCTGAGCGTGTCACTGAGCTCAAGACTGCATCGGGTGGTCGACTTCCCGCGGGTACGCTCATGCTCGGTGCGGAGGGAATCAAGCAGGCGATCCACAGCTTCGAGGACGCACGCAAGGTTGATTTGCAGAACGAGAGGCTCCCGCCGAGCCACGAAGAGGTGCGAAAGTCTCAGGAGGTTAGCCGAGAGCAGGCTCTCGAGAAGGCCACCAAAGAAGCCGACAACGACCAAGGTCTCGCGACTGTCGCAAGACGCATCAGCATGTAAGCATCGATCCTACGTAGCTTGTCGTGCAGTAACTAATTCGCATAGGTCATCTGGCTCTGGACGCAGCCGGAGAAGCTAGGCGCGATTCAAGCGCTCGCGATCCGAGAGCGAAGCCGATAGACGAGCTATGACATTGCAGGATGTTTAGGTTCTTGATTTCTGTATTGGCGGGCCACCAAATGTCATCAGTATACCACGTAGGCGTATTCGGGCCAGCGTAACCTAGAGGACATCACCTTACGAAGCACGGTAGTAATTTGTCGGTCGACTGCTCAACTTTAAGGGCGTCGACCTCTCATTGAATCACATAAAATCAAATTCCTATGACACCAGTGTACAGCCACTTGCTCCGTGTGAAGGCGTATGAGACTGCGCACGGACCCGGACCGAAGCTAGCTTTGCCGACCTACGTCAACATGGACATTTCAACAGCAATGCTCAACTTCAAGCCCGATGCCTCCATGGGTGGCCTCAGTGCCGCGACTGACGATCTTTCGCAAGACAGGACCGACTGATCGACTCCCGCTTGCGCGTCGCTGTCGCAATGTCCTCACTTCACGCCCGACCACCAGCCTCCGCGTGCGCTCCGCATCGACGCATGTCTCCCCGACCGCGATAAATCTGCGCCCGCACATCCCACCTCGGAACAAGGAGTTGTACGATGCACTGTCAGCGCTTAGTGGAGCCGCCGAGACCTACGTCAATATAAGCAGATTGCAATTGGCATTGCGGGGTCTGGCGGCGCAGGATGCTGTAACAAGAGTCGCTGGTACGGAACGCGCAGTTGAATTTGACGACGAGGGGCTGACGATGGACAGTTCTCGGTTTGAACAGCCAATTGAGTGCGCAGCAGCTTGCACGGCTACTACTCGCAGATCCACTCAGTGCTGAGGAGCAGTGGGAGAAGGAACTGGTGAAATCAGGCGACAGCAGCGAGAGAGCGGTATTGCTAAAGTATGTGCTTGATCTGCCATACTGGATAGCGCATCAGCTAACACGATTGTTGTGCAGATACGGCGACGATGCCGATGCACATGCGTCTTCGCCCCTCTACAAGGTCCTCTCTATACCCTCACGAACCCTTCAATCGCACAACCTTGAGGTCCTCGTCTCTACCATCAACGTCAATGTCGCAAAGTCCCTACCTCATATGGTTACGGAGAGCTCCACCGAATCGTTGCTGGTTCCCAAGCTCCAGGCCACTTCCGCACGAGGATTGCCCGTCCCATACCCGGTACACAAGACTCTAGTATTAGGAGAAGGACTGGACAGCGCCATAGCATTTGGAAGATTCTCAGCGGATGGGCTGAACGAGATGGATGATATGGTAAAGATGGCCGTCGACCTTCCCGCCCCGTCGGACGAAGTCAAGTCGGATACCCACGCCGCAAGCGCTCCCATCAACCTCCAAGTTGGCACGAAAGCGCTCGACAGCTTCCGCGAGTCGATCCAAAATTCCATCATCTATGAGCGAGGGTGGTTCAAAAGTGGTTTGCCAACGCTGTCGGAGTGGTTAGTCCAAGACCTTCAGGCCACAGACGCTATCAAGCCCCCGATGAAGACGCTTGTAGCTTCTATAGCCGACGATGTAGAAGCGAGCATCACCAAACAAGACGCTGCTCGATTGCAACAGCTTGCTCCAGTCCAGACACAATCAGACATCACAACCTCCATCGTCGGTCATCTCGAGACCTGGGCCGAGAAGTCTCATGCGGAGCTCCGTGACGAGCTTGATGAAGCCTTCACGGCTCGAAACTGGCACAAGTTGGCTTGGTGGAAGCTTCTCTGGCGTGTGGACGACGTCACGATGATAAGCTCGGAGATCCTCGAGCGGCGATGGCTCGTCTCAGCGGAGAAGAACAGCATCTACCTCGCCGGTCGCATGAACCAAGCTGGTTTTCCAGATGACGTCCAACATCTCGCCGTTGCCGATATCCCGGAAGTGACAACGCAGGACACAGCGCCGACGGCAGAGAACCCGCGAACAGATCTATCCACCAACGTCCGGAAACCAATACCATGGCCTGAACACATCGCGGCTGCTCGCACAGAACTCATCAACGACACCGTGCCACCTCTGCAGGCACTCGCTCAACGACTTCTCCTACAGACCTTCAGCACAACTTCCCTCTCGTCCGCTGCCTCAGCACTGCTCTACGCCTCCATGTCTACCTTCTCCGTCTTCGAGGCTTCAGCCGTCGCGGCACTCGGTCTTACGTTTTCTCTTCGCCGCATGCAGAAACTATGGGAAGGTGCCAGAGAATCATGGGAGGGTACCCTGAGAGAAGAGGGCAGACGCACGTTGAAGGGTACAGAGGAAAGAGTCAGATTCATCATCAAGAATGGAGGGAAGGAGTACGTTGAGGATGAAAGTGTAGCTGAGAGGAGAGCAGCGAGGGAAGCTGTAGCAAAGGTCAGAGAGGCACTTGAGCGGATGGACGGTGGGGATGGCAAGGGCAGTGTATGATCGATATGTATGAACTTGATTCAGTGTCGAGGAACAGTCTCCGTCGTAGTCGAATCAGAATTGGCGATTTCCCCAGTTTACCTCCTCTCTCGACTCAAATATTCTGCTGCTTAAGAGTTGCCTGTATTGCAATGTCTGAGTGAATTGGGGTGACACGATCTCAGCGCAGGTTGCGCATTGCAGGTTGCCTGCAGGTTGCTTATTCACTACAACCTGCCAACATCCTGTCTTTTTCTAAAGCCAAATGTGGCCTGAATTCGCGCGAATTCGCGCCGATCTAGCGTGACTCTGCCTTTTTCACTGACTTTCTGCAGCGTACTCTTGCAAGAGTACGAGGCCGTCACTGTAGTGTTGCCTAGGGTACGTGACGGTGCCCTACTGTGCAGCATCGTCTATCGTCCTCGCCCCGCCTGCTCTACACTTCTTAACAAAGCCCTGTCTGGTGCATAGACAGAGCCTGCAGGGTCTTGCTCTGCGCAGCATCTAATATTATGTAGAGGTAGAAGAACATACACGTAGATTTTCTGAAGAGCAGCGCACTTAGGCGGTAGAGGTATAAAAGGTAAAGGTAAGCACTTTTATGTATTTGTACATAGCTAGCTATCTGTAGAACCTATGCTACTAGCAGAAGAACTGAATGCAAAAGCTAGTGTGCTCACTACGGAGGTACATGTAGAATCAGTGTGAAGAGTATGTAAAGTTGAAAGCAGCAAAGTCAGCACAAGAAAACAAAAAGCAAAGTGCACATGCCAGAGCAGTCAAGGCATCTGTCCGACCACAGCTCGAACAGACGTGCCTAAACGCATGTTCATTTGGTCAGAGTTATAAACCACGCTTGAGATGACACTCGACAAAGGAAAGAAACAAAAGCTCAAAGACCGAACGTGTGGGACCAGGCAGTCCGAAGAGAAGTGTGGCATGTCTGCTCCAGAGAAGTTAGCTATGCCGAAAAGTGAAGAGAAAAGTAAGGGATTTGAACAAGATAAGACTTACTCGAGTTGAGAAGAGGCGAAGAACGATATCACTTCAGTTTGGCCTTCAGATAACGGCCGAACTTGTTATTGTAATCTTTCTGTCGATCGGCAGAGTCGGCCTTAACCCATTTACTCCAAATCCTCATATGCTTAGTGATCTTTTCAAAAGGTACTTTGCGCGTCTCTGTAGGTAGTCCTCTGGCCGAGAAGCTGATGTGATAGTCAGTTCCACGGCTGGTCTCGTGGGGATTAATGATATACTGAATCTATTGCCTTGTTAGCACAGTTGTAAGAACAAAGTTTGGTACCTACATCATGGGCGTTATGAGCTCCAGATTCTTCTTCGTCCATAACCTCTTCTTGCGTGGGTGCAATCGAATTGGAGCTGGATCTTGCGCGGTTTGGCTGAGGCCTTGGTTGCTCGGGAGCCCGTTGCTTTCCTTGAGCTTTAGACGAGAGTGCCGGTTGAGCTTGATCTCCTGCACTTTTTGCCGTGCCCGCAGGTATTCTTACGTCGACGCTTCCTCCCTAATTATGAAAAGTTAGTATTTCTATGTGACAGACAACATCTTCTTGATTGCTTACCCGACGTCGTGGGATGGACACGCTCGGTGCCATCACCCTCGGCTTCGAAGATAAAAGTGATGGTATTGGGCCTTCATCTTCATCGTCCGAGGCTACATTGTCTGGGTGGTAGTCCCGGCTGTTGTCCTGAGGCTCGTGCATCCGACCGCGGTCATCTTCAAACGGCGAGTAGCGCATCGCGCCGTCAGAGGGTTTCCCTGAGCGTAGGGGACGGGAAGACATCTCAACGATGCTGGCTAGGGTCGATAGAAGCTGAAAAGGGAGTGTGACTAGCACAGACTTGTTGTTGCTGTTGAGGTGCGAGTATGGTGTAGTGTAAGAAGTTAAACCTTGAATCACAGAAGAGACACCCTATGTAGTACCTAGTTCCATCTCTACTAGCGGTCAAACAATCAGGCATCTGTCTCTCACTCTAGATGTGGTAGGTGCGGCGCCTGCCCCGCCTTTACAAAAAAAGAGATGAGAAGCTATAGGTGAAGGCAAAGGGCGGTATGTTGTGAGCAGCAAGAGCTAGCTGGCGGTGTCTGAGGGACAGACAGCGAGTGGCTGGCCCTGTGGGAGAGTAGCGTTTGCAACGGGCGGAAATGAACAGGCCAACAAACACAGACGCCAATGCCGCAGTGACGGTGGGAAAAGGACTGACGTTGAGTGGAAGTGGATGATGGGCAGGCTCAGCCGCAACTTAGTCACCCAGTTTGAACAATGAGAAAAGCACTCAAAGTGACAGGCGTAATGAGAGTGTTGGACATGAGGTGTATAATTTAAAGTTCAACTTTGATTATGATCTGAATAATCACCAAACAAACCGAAGCGCTAGCTAGACATTGTAGTGACTGTGCAGCAACGCTGTACAAAATACCAAATGAGTATACTCGCAAAACATCAAAACAGAATGCTACTGTGTACGGCCGCGCCATCGCAGACCCAGTTAGAAGATCTCGCCAAGTCGAGGCTTTCCACCCTTCCAATCATTGCGCTCGTAGTATCGGAAGACAAGATCGTAGCCATCCAAGTCATGTACAATGCGGTCGACGCGACGGTATCCTGCAATTGTCTCCATCCTCTTCGCCTTCTCAATGTTCTTGGCGGGCATCTCGTCAGCAGTAGGCTTAGCCTCGAAAAGAGTGACGCTGAACCTGCCAGGCTTGAAGATGCCGACGACATGCTCGACGACGTCAGCCGTCTCTCTACCAGTCTGGCGGGCAGGTACATTGGTCTCGAACGAGGCGTAGGAGCACTGGGGCTCAGGTGTGACGTGTACAGTGAAGTAGTGGGTGGCATCAGAACCCTTCTTGGAGCCGTTGGGAGCACCACCTGGGGCGGGAATGACGCCGTTGGCAGAGAAGCCACATGGCGTGAACAGGTAGGCGTCGATGCGGGCGTCGGGGTACTTGGAGGTAGGGTAAACATCGGCCAGACCACAGTGCTCAGAAACAACTGTGCCGAGAGTATGGCCCTCAGTGGTCAACTCCTCCGGGAAAGTTAGCTCCTCGTCAGAGTTGAAACCAGAGTGGTCAGAAGAAGTCTGCTCAAACACGTCGAAGCTGTCATCGGAGGTGTGGGTGTTAGCAGCGGAGTTGAGGACAGTAGAGCCGCCGAGGCTCTCGCTGTGGCCGTTCTCTTCCGCAATGGTACCTAGGGATTGGATGGCGTTCTTGCGAGCCTCACGGGCCCTCTGGATGTAGCGACCTTCCGCAACCGCACTTGCGTCCTCTAGATAGAACTGACGGGCGTTCTTCTCATCGAGGTCGGTCATCAGGATCTCCAGAGTCTCGTCCTCTTCTTCGTCGGTGGCCTGCTCACGCAACATGCGTTGAGGGTGGCTCACGAACTTGGTCTCGGTATCAGGCGCAAGCTTCTCCTCACCAGGACTGGGAGGTGGAGTGAGGCTGGTGTCTGGACCGGTGATGTAGAGGTACCAATGTTCGCCGTTCATCTTGCCAATCATATAGGCACTGCCACCCTGGAAGCGGTCGTCCAGGTAGCGAACCTCATCACGCCAGCTGCGGTGGGGTCCACGCTGCTGATCAGGGTAGAGATAGTTCTTCCTGCTGTAGAACACGCGGTATGGTGTGGCGGCTGGCGCGACGCCTGATGCCTTGGGTGCAACGAAAGGGAAGCCGACCCCTGCAGCAATCTCCAGCATACGGGTGAGACCCCATAGTAGAGTTGTGGTTCCGCAGGTCTTGAGCACGACCTTGTGAGGAAAGACGAACATGCTCGACTCGGACAAGAGGTAAGCGTCGACATGTTCAGACTCGATGACAGAGAGAACCTTGCAGTTGACAAGATCGAGCATGTCCTTCCAGACATCTGCCGACACCGTCTTCAGTCCAGTCGGGCCGGCTTGTCCAGGCAGTTCGGTAGCAGAAGCGCTGAACCATACTTCCAAGAGCTTCTCAGGACCCTCAAACGAGTTGGTAGAGTCGAGATCGATGGTAGCCTCCTTGTTGATGGTCAAATGAGGGGTGCCAATGTGCGACGAAGGCGAGGCAGTGTAGTGCTGAGGAATCTCAGTAGCGACCATCTCTTGACTGTGTGGCTGTCGCGCGCACGAACAGGTCTGGTAGGTGTGTTTGGTGGCCGTGGCTGTACGGAAGCTTGGAGAGGTGGCTAGCTAGGAAGCTATGTGCAGCACAACCTCGCTCAGACAAGCAATGCGGTGCTCGCCTGAGAAGAATTGGCCCACGGGTCGCAAAGAGTAGGCGAGGCTGGCGTGTGCCAGCAGCAGTTTATGGAGGAGAGGGTAACCGACCGTAGTCGATGTTAGGGAGGTCGGGCGTTGAGGGGAATAAACGAGGCCTTTCGCCGGGAAATGGTGGCAGTGGTTGGGGTCCTCGCGATACCAGATTCCGATACCCTGGGGAAGTATCGGGTCCAGCAGAGGAGATCTGCTTTAGATGGGTACGATGGTGGGTGGTGAAGGATGGGGCGTGGCGGGTGTTATCGAGGCCTGTGAATAGTCAGCGCTGGCCGTTGGGATGTCTTGCACACTGCTTCTCGCGGAGACAACGACTCACTTCGCAGGCTTGGACAGAAAGCGTACCAGGTCCTCGCGACGCATAGAAGAGCCGAGGTGGGCGGCGATAGACGGTCTGCGGGCTACTGAAGCCTAGGCAGTGGTGGAGAGGGAGGAGAGTAGGTCTGCCAGCGTGACGATGTAGGTTTGGTGGGCAGCGTTGAGCAGAGAGTCAATGCAATGGCGTTGGGCGCTGATAGAATCTGCGTGAATGAGCGGGCGGACGTGACGAGGTTATATTCCCACACGGCAGGCGCGAGAGATGTGGGCGTGTGCAGAGTGTCAGGAGAGCGACGTACTGTGCGCAGTGGATGCAAACTTCACTAGGGGAATTTGACGTGTGTGGTGCTGGGGCGACGTCGTGGAAGCTTCGGGCCTTCACGCGACAGCGATTTTTCACGAGTGCGGTGTTTTCGCATCAGGACGTCACCGCCCGTCCCAGTTGGCTGGAGCGCCCCGCCGTCTGCCATTTCACCCGACTCGGCCATCCGCCATGTGCCTGACACAAGACGCGAATAGGTCCGACTGCCACTGCTGCCATGATCGGTTGCTGCTATGTACATCAGGGAACATGCTGCCTCCGCCATTCCACACTACGCCCAGCTGGGGTTAGCAGCACATGATCACGGCTTTACACGTACGTGCCAGTGGTACCTGATCTCACCAGCACAGCCTTACGCCATCAGTCAGAACCCGATGGGCATGTTAGTATACGCTCCTTCGCAATCTCCGTCGTCCAAGTATCCCAATTCTAATGTAACTGCTCTACATCACTGCGCACGACCACCTCTTACAGCCAGGGCGAAAAACTCACATCATCCAATATAGCCAAGTTGATTCTATTGCCCGGAATAATAATCGCACAAACTGCGTATACATGTATAACACCTCCCCATAAGGACACCAGGCCCTATGGCGTCAGCACAGCCCCTGCAACAAGCAAGCATACTCCCAGTACTCGTGACTACGGGCCGAAACACCAGGCGCACCCGTCCGTCTTTGTTCCAGCTTAATCGCATACAACAAACCTGATATATCTATATCCTGAATCAACACTTATTACCACCTAACCTTCCCTTTCAGGCATCTTCAACTTCAGCTTCCCTCTATTGATCATCATCTCGAAACATTCTCTCAGATCCAATACCAGCGCATCTGGTGCCTCGAAGCCTGGCAACATTGCGGGGCGGCCAGCATGGCGCCTCACCCAGGATATGTCCCAGGAACGTGCACCCCACATTAGCGGCGTTGCGGTGCTGCTGTTAGGATGGAGGAAGGTGGAGATGCCAAGGGGGGTGGATGTAAAGGGTTGGTAAGAGGGGGATTGCATGTCGATGTGTGCGCGGCGGAGCCAGCGGAGGGCCTATCCGTCGTCAGACGTCAGCGGTGAGGAACTTCAGACGAAGAGTTCAAGGGTACACCAAGATGGGCCTCAGCAGATCTTCAGGTGGCAAAGAGTACGTCACAGACAGCGGCGAGTGCCTCCCAACCTCCTCATAACAAGCGCGTCAAATATATGAAAAGGGTAACGTACCGCTTCAGGCCCTGGTAACCATTGCAACATTGTAAAGTTCAGCACCTCTGTAGGACTCCATGTATAACTCTTCCCATCGCCGTCCACTCTATCTGGGCTCGTCGCACCTCCAGGTTGTGCCGTAGATGTCGAAGGAATATCCTCCTCTTCCTCCTGCTCTTCCTCACCACGCTGCATCT